CAAAAGCTGCCCAGAGAGGCAGGGCACTCACTGTTGTTGAGGACAGTTATGAAGGCATCCCAGACGAAGCCACCCCTGCACCCGTCCCCACAGCGGCCACAGTCAAGCAGCTCTGGCACAAGAAGGGACGGTGTGGGCTGACTGCGCCCTGGCGTCCCCCCCCCCCTCACATGCCCCCTCCTTCAGCCATACCCTGCACGGAGACTTGCACCGACTGGTTGTATTTGATGCCCCACAGGGCCTCGATGTTGCCCGCTGTGGCCATGGCCCAGCAGCAGTTGCAGTTTTCCTAGCCGGGAAGGGGGGCAGTGGGAAGGTGTCCCGGCCTCGTCCCCCCTCCCCCCGCCACGCCACCGAGGCTGGACTGGGCCAGATGGGGGCAGATACCTGCTGCCTGATGGGTGAGATGATGCCCTTCAACCTTCGCCAGTCACAGCTGCGGGGCACCGACTCTCCCGACCCCACCTTTCTGCCCACGCTGGGTGCCTCTCCAGCCATCCTCTGGTGCCCATAGAGCTGGCCAAACTCCTCCTCTGGGGGATGGATGGACGGGGCCAACAGGGTCACAGTTTTGACCCCTTCTCCCCCATACTCTGCCTCTCCCACTCCAGCCATTCACATACTGGGTTATTTGAGTCCTCATGATACCCTGGGAGATAGGCACAAGGGTATGGAGGCCCAGAGAGAAGCCAGCTTTCTTCCTGGGACGCACTCGCCTGCACTTGCTGCCTCACCCCCTAAGCTGGATTAGGACCCGGACCCGCCCCTGCTTTTTGTGATTTGGGGCAAGCAAACAGGCCTCTGGTCCTCAGGCTCCCTCTCTCTGGGAAATAAATGCTGAAGGTCTGCCCTGCCCAGCCGCCAGTATCTCTGCAGAAGTCTCTGCCTGCCCACCTACCACCTAGGATCCAGGAAGTGTCCAGTACCTGTGAGGTCACTGAATGGAGTCACCCCAAACTCGGCTGTGCCCAAGTCTTCCGCCTCCAGCTGCTGAGCCTGGGCCAGGTTGCGTGCAAAGATGTCCAGGCGATGAGCATACTCTGGAGCAAGAGGGGTTGGTTCTAGGCGGCCTCCTGAGCCCACAGAAGCAGGAAGTGGCCGCTGGCTGGGCATCCTCCCACTCACACCCAGCCAGGTGAGCACAGCTCCTTTCTTGTGGCCACTGCAGGCCCCACCGCCGACATCTGGGCCAAGGAAATGGCTCCCAGCCCCTCTAGGGTTGGCTTTTCCTCAGAGGCAGTAAGGGGGACATCTCTGCCCACCCAGAAGACAAGTAAAGGGTCTGAAGGCAGAGTGACTCAAGGGAAAGGTGGGTGGTCAGAGACTGGCTTCCTGCCAGGTCACATTCTCCCTTCACACCTCTGCCTGCATGTTCTGAGCTGGAACATGATGAAGGTGGGGAAGGGGTGGGGTATGGGTCCATGGCATGGGCAGCCTGGGCTGAAAGGTGCCCACAGACCATCCCCCTATGGAAGACGAGACCCAGAGAGAGGGCGGGAGGCAGGGCTGGGACCTCCTGGGCATGGAGAGTGAGTCCCCACACAAGATGAATATCCTTGGTGTTTCTGAAGGAACTCATGACTAGATGGTAGTCGGCCTGCTGCGCAGAGTGACAAAGTGGCTGTGGAAGCAAGGGGTCCTCTGGGACGGGTAGGCCCCCAACAGCTGCTGCCTGCCCTCCAAATTCATAGCAAAGAGTGATCCTGTCGCCCCTTGTGCAACCAGGGAATACACCCCCAGCCCTGCCAACTTCCCTGCTGAGTGGCTTTGGCCCAGCCCATTCCCCACCCGGAATCTTGATTTCCTTATCTATTAAATGGGAGACAGGGGTGAGACTGGAGATGTACATGCCCCATGATACCTTCTGGGTTTGAGTAACTCCGGTTGTACTGGGTCTGGAACAACATGAAGACCTGTTTCAGCTCCAGTGGCTGGGGACCTGGATCCTGGCAAGGAACCAAGAGGGTGGGGGGAGAGCAGGTGAGGAGTCATTGCTGGGACCACACCTTGCCTTCCAGCCATGCAGGGATGGGGCTAGGGGATCAGCTGCTTGGCCTGCACGGTCTCCCTGTGTTAGCTTGGGCCTCATGGCATCATGTCAATCACCTCTGTAGCCTCAGTTGCTGTCTCTGAGAAATGGGAATAAGGCAGTTATTTCTGGAAGGGTGAGCCCTAGGCAGGAGTCTCGCAGAGGGAAGAGGATGGGAAGCAAGGGTGGTGGGGGGGGGGGCACTTACCTGGTTCCTGAGGGAGCCTTTGATGCCTTGGGGCAGGCCTGCCACCAACAGGGCCAGGAGGCAGGAAAGGTAGACAGTTACTGCCATGGTGCTGCGGGCGAGAGTGCTGGAAGCAGGAAGCTGTGCAGACCAAGCTGGAGGGGCTGAGAGGGCGGAGCTGGAGAAACCGCAAAGGAGAAACCAGGTTGAGAGGGGGAGGTGGACCCCTTGATCACAAGAGCTGCCTCAGGCCTTCAGGCCTTTGTCCTGTACAGCCCTCAGCCTGCCTGTTTCCCACTCCACCCTTTTTCTTCATTCAGCAGATACCTGCTGCCCACCCTGTTCTGGGCAATTCTAGGGCTACAGAGAAGGATCTGTCCTTAAGGAAACAGGAATAGACAGATCCCAAGTGAGCAGTTGCCATATATGGCCATCAGTCGTGACAGGGAAGTCCAGGGGGCTATGGGTGCCACAGGTTTTGAAGCCCTGGGTGGGGATAGAGGGTGGTCATTGCCCCCTGGGGAAGCACTCTTGCTCATCCTGGGAAACTGAGGCAGCTCAAGGGTCATCCTCCAAGAAGTCTTTGCTGCTCCCCATCCTCTGGTGTAACCTGCAGCCCCTTGAGCCCCTGCTGTGCCTGCCTCCCAGCCACACCAGAAGCATCTGATGCACCTGTGTCCTCAGCACCCAAGCCAGGGCCCAGCCCCGAGCAGGCTTGATGGGTGTTTGTAGACCTAACAAGTGGTTGTCACTGGGTTTTATTTTTTAAAATTTTTAAGATTTTATTTATTTATTTGACAGCACAAGCCGGGGGAGCAGGAGGGAGAGGGAGAAGCAGGCTCTCCGCTGAGCAGGGAGCTGGACGTGGGGCTCGATTCCGGGATCATGACCTGAGCCGAAGGCGGGCACTTAACTGACTGAGCCACCCAGGCGCCCCCGCTGTCATGGGTTTTAAATAGGAAAGTTCAGGGTCTAGGGTACGGTAAGTGGCGGCTACTGCCTTGTCCTGTTCATCATTCTTATCACAGTCTGGGGATGGGGATGAGGGGCCACGTTGAGTGCAGAAGGGATGAGGGCAGGGAAAGTCAGGGTCCTGGAGGTCAGGAGAAGCACTGCGAGGAGGCAACCCCGAGTGGTGGGCGTACTGAACGCCTAACACTGCAAAGACTCAAAAGTTGAGTCGCGGGGCGCCTGGGTGGCTCAGTTGGTTGAGCGTCTGCCTTCGGCTCAGGTCATGATCCCGGGGTCCTGGGATCGAGCCCCACATCGGGCTCCCTGCTCGGTGGGGAGTCTGCTTCTCCCTCTGCCCCTCACCCTGCTCGTGCTCTCTCTCTCTCTCTCTCAAATAAATAAATAAAATCTTTAAAAAAAAAAAAAAGTTGAGTCGCCAACTGTGTACCCAGTCATTCCCCTCTGGGCCTCAGATCCTCATCTCTAAGTGGCAACAATTCCTTTGAGTGGAATGACTGTGGGCACCTATGACCCTGGCTGGCACATAACAGGTGTTCAAATGGTGGGTCCTTAATACTCTACTCAGAGGCAGGGAGCCCAGAGTCTTGGAATCGGGGTGACTCGAGTTCGAATCCTGTCCTTACCATTCTGGCTATTCCTGGACAAAGCTCAGCCTCTCTCATCTGTGAAATAGGGTGGTAACAGCACCCCTCCCTGGCTTGGCAGGATTGCATGAGGTGCATGCAGGCGCCTGGAAAGGCTATGCCTTGATAATCAAGAGCTATTATTTTTATTATTTTTTTTAAATAACAGCTTTATTGAGACATAATTTACAAGACATAAAAATTCAGCCTTTTAAAAAAAAAGATTATTTATTTGACAGAGAGAGAGAGCACGCACAAGCAGGGGGAACAGCAGGTGGAGGGAGAGGGAGAAGCAGGGTCTGCACTGAGCAGGGAGCCCGATGCGGGACTCGATCCCAGGACCCTGGGATCATGACCTGAGCTGAAGGCAGACACTTAACCAACTGAGCCACCCAGGAGCCCCAAAATTCAGCCTTTTAAAGTATACAATTCACTGGAGCACCTGGCTGGCTCAGTCGGAAGAGCACACGACTCATGATCTCGAGGTTGTGAGTTTGAGCCCCATGTGGAGTGTAGAGATTACTTAAATAAATAAAAAAATTTTTAAAAACTTTACACAATTCAGTGGTTTTAGTGTATTTGCGTAACTGGACAATCATCACCACCATTTGATTTCAGAGTATTTTCATCACCCCAAAAGAAACCCCATGTCCATTAGCAGTCACCCCCTAGTTGCCCCTTCCCCTGGCAAATACTAATTTGTCTCCTAGATTTCTCTATTCTGATGTGTCCTATAAGTGGAATATGAGGATGTTGGTGTCTGGCTTCTTCCACCTAGGGAAATATTTTCAAGATTCATCCTTGTTTTAGCACACATCAGTACTTCATTCCTTTTTATGACTGAGTAACATTCCATCGTATTACCACATTTTGTTTATCCATTCATCAATTAATGGACATTAGATTGTTTCTACATTTTGGTTCTTATGAATAGTGTTGCTATGAATGTTGTGTATAGATCTTTTCGGGTGGACATATGTTTTCAATTCCCTTGGGTATATACAGGGGAGTGAAATTTCTGGGTCATGTGGTAACATTTTGAGGTCCTGCCAAACTGTTTTCCAAAGAGGACCATCTTATATTCCCACCCATAGTGTATGAGGGTTCCAATTTCTCCATATCCTCGCCAACACTTGTTATTGCCTGTCTTTTGGTTTTAAAGAGCTATTATTTTTAGCATCCTCGCCCCAGTGGCTGGGAAGGATCTGGGGGGTCGGGGGGTGCACTCCCCAACTCACCTTGAACCCCAGGGCTGACCTCGGGATCCACGTGCCCCCATCAGTACACCCTCTTCCTGGGCAGGGCTACACTGGGGGCGATCGTGAGGATAAACAAGGGTGGGAAAGGGAAGGCTGGGCTCAGCAGTTCCCGCACTTCGTCTGCCCCCGGCCGGAGATCCCTGGACACGCGTCCCTTTCCCGTCTGGCCCCGCCCTGAGACGTGGGCAGGAGGAGGCCCCGCCCCTTCCTGGGAGCCAACTCCGCCCAAACTCCTCCCCAAAAGGCGCGCCCTCTGCTTGAAAGAGAAGGCAGAAATCCCGAAGTTGGGGGTGGGGGTGGGGACCCATTTGGGAGGAGGGCCGGTAAGGCACTGACACCGGACCCTGGCGTCCTGGACGCGAAAGTTCAGCCCTGCGTGCCTCCTCAGGGGCTTCCATTCATTCTAGGCCAAAAGGCAACTGCGGACCCCGCTCCCGAACTGTTGTAGTTTCGCGGACCGATTGTTGGGAGGAGGCGGTCCTCGAGTGAAGGGACCACCTGGCTGACAGCCCTAGGGATGGAGGAGAGAAGGGACAGAGATGAACAGTTCTGGGCCTGGGAGCGTCTTGTCCTCGGGCGAGGGTCTGGGAACCCTGAATGAAATTTTGGTATTCCCAGAGTGACTGTCCGGATGCACAGAACAAGATTCTGGAGCGGGTAGAGCAGGGTCTGGAAGCTCCAGGATTAGGTGGGGTCCAGGTGCCCAGGATGACATTCTGGGAGGGGCAGAGTGTGGAGGCCCCGGCATTATGTGGGTGCACAGGGTGGAATTCTAGGAGCCCAGATTAGGTAGGGTCCAGGTGCGCAGGATGACATTCCGGGTTGCGTAAAGTGAGGGCCTAGGGGCTCCCGGGTGAGTCTGGGGGCCTGGCATCAAGGCCATGCCCCCAGGGTGGGGAGCTAGGGGGACCCTGGCCCTGCGCCGGGAGGCGGCTCCCCGCCGCGCCGCGGGGGACCGGGTGGGGGCCTGCGGCTGGCCGGGGGCGGAGAAGCGGGGGGTCGGGG